GTAGTCCGACTAGAATTGCGTCTACTCTACTCTACTTTCTATTCCATCCTACCTATTCTATTCTATTCTATTCTGTGTCTGTGTCTGTGTCTGTGGGTAAGATATGTGTACGCACATGTTTGTCGATGTATTGTATATGTTTGGCAGGACGCCCACGCCCACGCACACGCACAGCACACAAGACAATATCTACAGCAAGTAAGTAATGTCAGAGCAGCTAATACTAGATAATAGGACACATAGGGGACTACTTGGGGCTGACGGATGAGAATGAAGCTGTCAAAAGCCCAGAACCCGTAAGCGATCAGTCTATATACGTCGATAAGAATAAGAAAACTGACAAGCATCGAATCTGAGCTCACCACGGGCATAGGAGACGTAAGACTTTTATATATATATATATATATATATATATTTAAAGGCATGTAACTACTTACATATATATAATACAAGATTTGCCACCGCTCGTGGGTAGGGGTAGAGTCGGGTGGTTGTGTAGGTTATGTTATGTTGTTTCTCTCGGTCGAATAATTCAATTCCTAGACGGTACGTGGCCAAGTAAGACACCCAAAGCTTTGGGCTCCATATCTAATCATATCACGCGAAAGCAAAACCGGGTGGCGCCCTCTTCCGATGAGTCTCGGATAAGGCAAGGAAGGGCGCGTGGGCTTTTATTAATACCTATTATTGCCAGACAGGCAGGCAGGCGACGAGAAAGATGGGTGTATAGTATTAGAAAGAAGACGCCCGCCCGACCCGCGAGGAAACGAAAAACTAAGTGAAATGATTGTTAATAAGTACCTAACCTAGGTAGATAGATAATTACCAAGCAGATAATTCCGTATAGGTAGTATCTAAGTTAGGCATCTTGTGAGTGTGGGTGAGTAAAGAACCACTCGTTTTGGGGTGGACGCTGGCGGTCGGTTTCGATACGGGTGTGGGTGGTTCGGATGACGCACTTTACTAGATACACAGCCCATGAGATAGATCATGGATCACACCTTTTTTTTTTGGTTTTGTTTTGTTTTGTTTTTGTACTCACGTGGGAAAACGTTTTCGTGCATTGCTGACGGAGCTGAGAAATCTTTTGAAAATATTCCTGACAATAGGGAGGAGGGAATGATCATACTTCGGAGAACGACGAGTGAGAATTCAACCATTCCCGGCAGGTAGGTGGATGAGTTTACCTTGCTATGGCATCAGATCAGATAAGCACTATAAGAGAAGATGATCACAAGAAAGCTGTGGCCAATGGTTTCTTCCGCACGCGGGTCAATGAACAGCCGATGATAATCTGGTTGGCCAAAACAAAAAAGATCTCATTAGAATACTTGCAACAGAGCATGATGTAACAAGAAAATGGGGGTATCATTTTACTATTGTCTTCTCATGGCCACATACTTCGTAGCCATGAACAGATGTATACGTTATTACTAGGTAGATAGATAGATAGATAGGTAGATAAATAGATAGATGAGCGGCGGCGGCGCGTTCTTTCAACTCAAAATGACAACCTTATCCAAAACGCCGTATATGCCCAGCGCCCGAATGCTTTCCCCCCAAAGGAAAACCCGTGATGATCATGATGCTTGAAAGTAGGAGAAGCGAGGAGAGCGAGGAGGTAGGAAGCGGTAGTAGACATGCACAAGTTTCGCAGACTCCGTACCAATGCAATAAACCAAAACCCCCGCCCCTAGGAAACAATGATGAACATAAAGATGCTTCCAATATAAATAAAAAAGAAATCGAGTCGAGAATCACTTCAGAACTCCTTAACAGGTAATACGAATCGAACCTTCTTCCCGGGCTTCGTCGTCGGTATGTCTATAGGCCGCGTCTTCTGCTTCTTCTTCCTCGCCTCCTCCTCAAAGTCTGCTTCGTCTAAACCCACCATGCTCAATCCCATCTCGCTCATGGTTTCCTTCTCCGGTTCTTCCTCGATGGCCCAGACGTCCGGGCTGGGCTCACGCCAGGAGTGCCGTCGCCGTAGCGAGTGGGTGGTCCGGCCCCGGACGGGACGTCGGGGTAGAGGTGCGAGACGCCTGGCTAAGCCGCCATTAGGCGACCCCACGTGAAAAGAGGATGGTGATAGTAAAGCATCGGCAGTGCGAGATGTGGTAGAATTCTGAGGCGGACTGTGTCGGGGCCGGTCAAAGTATCTGTCCAGGCCAAATGGGAAGGGTTTCTGAGACGAGAATCGTATGTAATCCTCACCATCGTCGCTGTCGTCGCCATTGTCCTCGTCGTCGTCTTCGTCATCATCTAGGATGGCGCAGCTCGAGTCTTTGCGCTTGGATTGGTAGCGCCTGAGACCGTCGAGCGTGGAAGGACTCACGCTTCGGATCTTCTGACGGGGACTATTTGAGTCCTCGATGCCCGCATCGAAATCGAACTCAAACTCAAGCTCTTCATTCTCGAGTGCAGCGGGCGTTAGAAAGTATTTTAGAGGGTTCTCAGGCCTGGGCGCGCTGTCGAGGTCTTCATCATCTGTGGATAGGCCGTCCCTGTCCTCGACGAGGGCCGGTGGGCACTGGCTAGGACTCGACGGTGACAGCTCCCTAGACGGCCACAGCTGTCCGTGCGTTATACGCAGAGCCTCTGATGGCAAGAGAGGCATGTCGTATGTGTTACTTGATTAGGTATGATAGACCTCAAGCGTAAGAGAGGAAGATATTCTCAGTCGTGAACGAGATTCCGCAAAGTGGTCATTTCAAATGCCAGATTCGCAGAACAACTTTGAGCACCTAAGCTTACACTTTGGCCTGGCTCAAAATGAAAATAAGAATGTGGAACTATGAGCGACCGAAGGAGAGCAACCCGTAGTCCCGAGGAGAGAGAGAGAAGAAAAAAAAAAAAAAGGCGAGGGACGCGAAGTCGCTATTACCTAGGTCACAACAGAACGTACAGGTCAGTGTGTTGGCATATATATATATATATATGTATACGTATGTGTGTGTGCGTGTGTGCGTGTGTGCGTATGTGTGTTCATTACGTATCCGATCATAGGCAGAAGCCATATGTACCGGTCAGAGGAAGTGGCTGGTGTTTCTTTTTTGTTTTGGGGTTAGTCACATGCTGATCAAGAAGATACCCTTATGGGTGAATAGTACCCGGTTGTCTAGCAAGCGGGGAGAGCAAATGCTGGTAGTCATGGACCATCATCCCGGTCACTCAGCTGGCGAAGACAGGACTTTGGGAGGATTATTGCGAAGTCGTGAATCACAGGGCGCAGTGGACCAAGACTCATCTCATGTCCTTGGGATGAGAGGGAAGAAAGCGAAGAAAGCGAAGACGCGAGACAGCTTCCCGAAGCAGAAACACACAAAGAGGAAGATGGTGTGCATCCCGGGCGGAGAAGAGCAAGACGAGGAGGGCGTTCTGTTACCTGTAGTGCACGATACGAGCCTCCACCGGCGTGTATCTGACAATAGACAGACAGACCTGACTTACAGACTGTACATGTCCAGGGATTCTTAAGCGGGAGAGAGGTCGACGAAGCGAGAAAAAGCAAGCGGCCAGCCACATCGTCCCCACTCTGGGCAAGCATCTGACAGGCTTGCACACCATCTTCTGTTGCGGGAGTCTGCAAATCCGACGTAATGAGCGTCTGCATGTAACGCCGATGAGGCTCGTGCGCTTTCGTATCATTCGCTGCCTGTCTTAAGCCTGCCCAGTGAGTCGATCACCAAGCGAACGCACGCACGCGGCACAGCCGGTGAATTACATAGTGGGCGTCCTCATCCGCCGGCCGCATTGTGTTGTACAGTACCTTGCATGAGAGTTGGCCGCTTCGACTGGTTGGATTGGACCATCATGGTCTCTTTTTTTGACGACGCTGCGCTAATAGGACCCGTAGATCGACACCGATGTGGAGGTTCTATGTTTATGTGGTATGTTTATGTGGTATGTTTATGTAGTATGTATTATCGTATGCGCGGTCCCTTCGAGCCGTCGTGCATTGCCGTGGCGAGATAGATGCATCTAATAGGTAGCTGGCAACCATTACGGACTGACGATCGATGGGTGCAAAAGAACAATGTATGTACCCCGCTTGAGGTGATTGGCGATGTGTGACTCACGTCCTTGGGTCTGGTGTATTCTGCGCTTTTGGAGAAGCAGATCCCGTATCAGTTCAACTCATAAATGATGACGATGAGATCCACCGAAATTGGTCGAGATTAATCGCAAGCCGTGACCGAGAACGGTAAAAGCGCGCCCTGCTCATTGATAAAGATGCCGGCCACTCTCAAGAGGTTCACCTCCGGCCACGAAGGATGCCCCAAGAGGGTTGTAGCGTTTGCTTATTCCTGGACTTTGGTGCTTATATATTTTTTGTTGCACTAGGTACGCCATTCATTGTCGCTATTGTATCAAATGGGGATGAGAGATATCTCGTTTGCCCGCCGCGACGACTTGCTTAGAACGTAAGAGTGCGCATCAGATGACCGAGACTTGAAGAATCTCGCACCACCAAAGTCCCCTGCGGTCGCCCGTTGTAGCCAAAGAGAAGAGCAACTATGCTGGGGTGTGGTTGACCGGTGTACGGCATGGTCGAGGTGGCGACTTGTTTGCTGAATTGACTCGATTTATATGTACGTAGGTACTGAATTGGTATGGAAAAATGAAGTACGTGATGAAGTCGGGAGAGAGGACAGGCATCGTCGCAGCATTCCACTTTTGCACCAAACATTGGTCAATTCGACGCTATTCTTGGCGATAAATGCATAACTGGGATATGTATATAGTTAGTTACTTGGTGGACTGTATAATTAATTGATTATTGCATCACAAAAATGTATTAGGTAGGTAGTCATGGTGGATCTATCTAGGTATCACGGCCTTATCTGATTAGGGTCTGCACCTAGATAGGTAGTTAGATAGGTAGATAGTTGTGATAAGGATCGCACCGGCGTCTCAAACTTTCAACCGACACAGTCGCTTATATCCACTACCTGCGTTCGTCGCCTTCAACACAGGAAGCTCGTCTCTTCCTCCCTCAAGGGCTTGTGGTTTAGTGGTATAATACTCCCTTAGCACCGAGGGTCCTCTTCCGAGACACCCACGAATTTGGGAGTGGTCCGGGGTTCGATTCCCCGCGAGTCCAACGTCGGTGGTTTGATTCCACCTCCTCACTTTTCATCCGAATTGGTGTAGTGGCTAACATTTGACGCTCTCATGATCCTCATGATCTTCATGATCACGGACAGGTGCCGTCAAGCCCGGGGTTCGATTCCCCGATTCGGAGTCCTTTCTTTTTTTCATCCTGTTTTTCTTTGAGCTGTTTTTTTTTTTTTTTGAGCCACGATGGGAATTTCTCAATCGTGTCTTGTCTTTTCTCCTAGGTTAGAAGCATCACGTGTGCCGTACCTATTGTGCTCGAGACCGGCGAACAGGCTCAACCTTTTTCTTCCCTTTTTAACAATATTAGATGGCACTGCTGGTGTGAGTAACATCTTGAAAGCCCTCGTTTTTCGGCGCTGTTTATGAGGCAAGTAGAGAGGCATTTAGTCGATCTGATCTAGGTACCTACGCTAAATTGAGATGCACGATCACCACTCATATAAACCTCGAAGCAGTAGGTACCCAACATGAGCTACAATGCACACGGGCATAGGTAGTGTAGCGTACATGTCGACGGGGACTAGCCTTGGGTGTCTGCCTAAAAGTCAACAATCTCGTTGCGGGCCGTCGTCTACACTATCACACTGCAGATGCCTAAGGCAACGGCTCGACCCGCGTCGACTCAAGAAATGGGTCTGCCCGTCCAGTCCTGCAGCTATTAGCGAGCCACAAACAAGTGGAATCCTCCTCCCGACGAAAATTGTCTTCCAGGTGGTGAATTCTATCTAATAGGCGCCTCCATACAGAGTCCACACCCCGCCCTGTCTTCTCCGAGGTCGGTCGAGAGGCGGGGGGAGAGAAACATCTAACCCGGAATCTAAACCCGGACTGGAGTCTTTTGCAGCAAGGTAGAGGGGTTATGAGCTGGGGTCTATGGCTAATGGAAGGAGAACCGCAAGCTCCGCGAGTGTCTCTAGCCAGACCACACCGGAGATGTTGGGATCTCTGCCCAAGATTGGTCACGAGGTGTATCTTGATTGAACCTCAGGACACCACAACACCGCTGATCCATACGCATCACGAACATACCAACGCCACACTGAAACGTCCATTGCAGTGGGCCGACCCTAGCGCTGTGACTGAAGCGTCACATTCCCTAACGCTCGAGGCTAGTTGAGGAGACTAAAGAACGTTGAGTTCCATCTAGTGAGGAAGAAGACCGCCTTCGATGGTATGTGTTGACGACGTAAATGTGGATCATCACTATGCCTGCGTTAGCCTGGACTTGCTAAGCACGACGGGCCGAGGAGCAGACAAGCGGTGAAACTATAGACGAATACCTATAGCTGAGGATATTCTCAAGACGCGCAAGACGAACAAGTTCTGGTAGAATGGACGGCAAAACGGTTGGTGATGCCGCCAGAACAAAGAGACTTGACGTCACCCCGTATACCTGATAATGGCCGGCCGTAACAACTACTCGCCCGGTTTCATATCGACATAGACTTAGTGGGAAAGGACCTGGTCGGGCGAGGAATATGTCCACCGTGATGATCATGGGAAACGGCTGGCACGTGCCCTACCAAGATTTGTCGAATACCGGATCGTGTTGCTGCTCCCCGCAGCAACAGTGACATTCCGGTTGGCAATTCTCTTGGCACCAGATCATCCTGTTGCGCCCCATCATAGAATTACGTCAAGGTTTTCCGAAATTCCATGTTTGCCGTCATTCGGCCCCTCTCTTATGATGGCGGAGAGAGAGAGAGAGAGACTGGCGCCCGCGAGTTCCCTTTGACGTATCGCGCTTCAATCGGCCCTTCATGAATGAATGGCCCACTTCGGGGAAAAATCAATGTGATGAGCAGGTTCCCGAACGACAATCGACACGCTAAACGAGGAGAATGTCGCGTGATCCCGCGCTCGAGGAAGTTTGCCAGACCTCTAGTATATCATAATCGCATCAATCTCAGTCTTGCACTGGGGAAGAAGCGTCATGCTTCGTGAGCTGCCCCTCGGCGCATTTGACGAAGGCACTCGTGGTGAAAACATAGGGTCAACAGTGTTGTATCCATATATCGCCATACTGCTCGACATGTGTTAGATGGAGTGATAAGATGGAGTGGATATGTGTATGCGTTCTTTATCATCGTCTTCCCGCAGTAGTGGGAACCGTTGATCTTATAGATCGGGCACATACAAGAGAACGAAATATTTGTGCGTATAGCCCACAGCAGCTACACAAGACGAGGCGGGCTGTGAATCATCATTGTCCGAATCACCAGGTTTGCCCAATTGGTCGCCTTGCCATATCCGCTCAGTCTCTTCACCTATTACTAGGTGACGCTCCTATTGACCCTCCAGAAAGAAGTACTGTGGCCTGATAGGATTGACGCTTCAATCTCATGGACACAATAACCAAGCCACATAACACTCACGGCCACGTGGGTGGCCTATAGAACCGAGAAGAGGCGCGATGGAATGGATCACAACGAGCTAGCCAAGGCCCAATGCCTGGGACGGGAACTAGACTAAAGAATGGAGTTACTTACTGTTAGAGACTTTGGATGATATCCTCGGATGATGTCAGGACCCTGGCAGACGACGACACAGAGCTAGAGGCTCCTTCTATTATTCGTCTTCACTGGTGATAAGAGTCAGCCTCATCATATGAATATGAATGATATGTATTATACCCGGTACGGCCATGCAACATATGCAACATAGGCACGGCAAGTCATTGCTTGAAGCCTGAAGGGGAAAGGGGGGTTGCTCTAGGGACTGTTGAGCAAGATGTCGCCAATCAAAGGCTGCTTTGGTAGCATCATGTACACGTTTTCGCAGCCCATGCAGTGAGAACTAGAGGCTCTACGCCCCTCCCAAGTTGTCCCAACTTCCAAGGGCATGGAACTTTTGTTGTGGAGATTCACATAGACAAGTTTTGAAGTTGCAAGCACGGGCATTGATGTCATATCGTGGGGACCTTTCGGGGGCCTCCCGAAATCCCAACGCTCGAGTCTCAAAGGATGGCAGCGACCCCATAAATCGAGCATATCTATAGTGGAGCGCGAGAAATCTAAGCGAAGTTTTTCGGGGGCTCCGTCCTGGAACCCCCCAACTTCCAAGGGCGCAGTCATGTGGGATACCTACTTAGTACTGCTACCGACACTACGCCGCAGTACCGAGATATGATTTGTAACCGTGGCGACGGCGGACGGAGGGACCAGTCAAGTGAAAGAATTGTACCGCGAAGATGAGAGAAATGAGAGGTGTTCTTGGAACAGTAGGGGGCGATGTCACCTCGAGGCCGCGAAAAGGGCCGAGCTTCCTAGTGTACAAGTAAGACGGACTTAACCACGACTTGTGTATAGCGTTGGTGACAAACAAACGCAATGCTGTCCAATCACCACTGAACCAACTTACCAAGATCCCGTCGACCCAGTCAAGCTGATCATTGATGAAGTCAGGCAAAAATAACTCGACGATAATCCCAATGACCTGTTCCCAGATTTCCAGTTTCCTATTTCCTATTTCCTATACATAGACGGCAGATGCACCTAAGTATGGTTGGATTCATGTCTGTTTATCTCTTCTTTGCCTTTGTGATGCGTGGGCCGTCGGGGTTGCTGGCTGATCCACTCGGATTGGCATGGCTACGGTCAGCGAGTCGAGGATATGATGGGATAAAAACTAGGTAGTCAGAAGTCTACTTAAGAGATCAAAATTAGAAAGTCACTCTAATGACGACGATGGGGAAACGTTGGAAAGGATGTGAACTTTTGAAGTCGTACCTAAACGCTAATATCTAGTGGAAAACGGTACGCTAGCCTCGCTAGGGGTAATTACTGAATTTACTGCGTACAGTTTGAACTCTGAGGATTGGTGGCTTTAAATGTCCACTAACTCAAGTAAGCAGCTTTTGTTTCAATTCTGCGCTAGACTATAGTTACGTAGGTACCTACAGTGGGTCACAGAAAGTGACGCTCGCTCAGACTTGTTGCAAAAAAGACCACCTTTAAGAATCACCACCACGCACCAAAATGAGTATATGCCACTCCTAAAAAATGGCCACGCATTGAAGAATGGCCGGAAACTGCATTAATACTTTTTTCTAATTCACATCGACATTTTGCGGGCCTGCATCGTGGTTTTTATTCGAGCCCAAAATTCGGCTTTGAAAAAACGAGCGTCACTTTCTGTGACCCACTGTATCTAAGTACCTATTACAGCGGCTATAGCTCGCGCCTAGGGTAGGGATGGTAGGTATTAGGTGTTTAATTGAGTGCATACACGCTAACCGCACAACAGCAAGGGAGTTCGTTTTCTTTCTGTAATAATATGGTGTCAGTATTGTTTTCGCAACGGTGACATCTGGATCCAGTTCTGTACGGTATTATTTCCTCCTTTCGTTTGTTATTCGAAGGCTTCAATGGCCCACCTGCTCTACTTACTAATGTTAGTGTTTGCGCGACTAACGCATTAATCACATTATGGTCTTTGAAAAGGTCTGGTCTACGGTCTACCTACTCCTTACTCAATCGCTGCTTAGAATAGCGCATGATTATCATGCCTGCGTAATAATGAAGTGAGGATATCGTCGCGCCGAGTTGTTTTCCATACGTTTCTCATGTATGCTTGCGGAATCTAATGTGATTTCCATGGCAACGCCTAGATAACGGAATGCTTACCTACTTACCTATACGCACAACATGGAGGACCAACATCCGTCTTTACCCTCCGGGGTGAGCCAATCAAGTCCAAGGTAGAAGGAGGGGCAAACCGTAAAAGATAGCTGTGAGCCTGTGTGGAATGTGGAATGTGGAATGGAGTGTCTGAAATCTGAACCAAAACAATCCTTTTTTAGAGCTATCTCTTTCATCTTTTTGACCCAGTTCAGGCCCCAGAAGCGATCAAGGTTCAGCAGACTGTTTGTTGCCTGTAACAAATTACGAGCAACGATACCACCGGTAACTAGAGGCTTACCACGTCCGCCCATTTGAGTATCTAGAGGGTTATCTATCTAGTAGAAATAGTACCTCAGAATCTCGGATGAAGAGGTGTTGATACAAAAGAATCGCGTGGTCGGCTTACTACTATTATGTACAGTAGCGAGCGACAACGCACAATGACTCACTCACATTCGTTCGATAGTTGGATAAGGTCTTCCATCATCCGTCTTCCGTTTTC